GTTGCCGTGAAGTCACTCACCCACTCACTCACCCACTCACCCACTCACCCACTCACCCACCCACTCACTCACCCACTCACCCACTCACCCACTCACCCACCCACTCACCCCCACACTCACTCACTCACCCACCCACTCACCCACCCACCCACTCACTCACTCACCCACCCACCCACTCATCCCCACACTCACCCACTCACCCACCCACTCACCCACTCACTCACCCACCCACTCACCCACTCACTCACTCACCCACTCACCCACTCACTCACCCACTCACCCCCACACTCACTCACCCACCCACTCACCCACTCACTCACCCACTCACTCACCCACTCACCCACCCACCCACTCACTCACTCACTCACCCACTCACCCACTCACCCACCCACTCACTCACTCACCCACCCACTCACCCACCCACTCACTCACCCACTCACCCACACACTCACTCACCCACTCACTCACCCACCCACTCACTCACTCACCCACCCACTCACCCCCACACTCACCCACTCACTCACCCTCCAGAGCGAACATTCGCCCCTTCAGTGCCTTGAGGACTCTCCCCAGTGCCGTGAAGTCGCTCGTCCACTCACCCACTCACTCACCCACTCACTCACTCACCCACTCACCCACCCACTCACCCCCACACTCACTCACTCACCCACCCACTCACCCACCCACCCACTCACTCACTCACTCACACACTCACCCACCCACTCACTCACTCACCCACCCACTCACCCACCCACTCACTCACCCCCACACTCACCCACACACTCACCCACTCACTCACCCACTCACTCACCCTCCAGAGCGAACATTCGCCCCTTCAGCGCCTTGAGGACTCTCCCCAGTGCCGTGAAGTCACTCGCCACCTCCACGTGGAGGCTGAGCGGGCGACTGGCGATGAGCTCGGCCGTGTAAATGGCGCGGCCCTTGTGGAACACGTCACCCACCTGGGGTGGGTGGGTTAGTGGGAGGCGGTGGGTGGGTTAGTAGTAGGGTGGGTGGGGGGTGGGTGGGTTAGTGGGGGGGTGGGTGGGTTAGTGGGGGGGTGGGTGGGTTAGTCGGGGGGGTGGGTGGGTTAGTGGGGGGGTGGGTGGGGGGTGGGTGGGTTAGTGTGGGGGGGTGGGTGAGTGGGTGGGTGAGTGGGTGGGCGAGTGGGTGGGTGGGTGGGTGAGTGAGTGAGTGGTTGAGTGAGTGTGTGAGTGCGTGGGTGAGTGAGTGGGTGGATGGCGAGTGGGTGGGTGGGTGGGTGAGTGGGTGAGTGAGTGGGTGGGTGGGTGGGTGAGTGAGTGAGTGGGTGAGTGGACGAGTGGGTGGGTGAGTGGGTGGGCGAGTGGTCGAGTGGGTGAGTGGGTGAGTGAGTGGGTGGGTGGGTGGGTGAGTGAGTGAGTGGGTGAGTGGACGAGTGGTTGGGTGGGTAAGTGGGCGAGTGGGCGAGTGGGTGAGTGGGTGAGTGAGTGGGTGAGTGGGTGAGTGGGTGAGTGGGTAAGTGGGTGAGTGGGTGGGTGGGTGAGTGTATGGGTGGGTGGGTGAGTGAGTGAGTGGGTAAGTGAGTGGGTGGGTTGGTGTGTGTGTCTGTGTGTGTGTAGTCTAGCAAAACAACCCCTTACCTCCTCATGGTGCCGGACGGGCAACGCTGTTGTGGACAGTGCTGTGGGGGGAGGGCCAATTCCGATTGGCTCCTCCCCTCATGGCGTCTGTGTCCACCACAGTGGCTAAATGGGGGCTCTGGACGGGTGCGAGGAGCTGGTAACCCCTCCACCTTCAATAAATTACCACTAAACCACGTCTAAGATATCTAACTAATAAGCTTGTGCCGGAGGCCCCGGGGGGCCAGGCGTCTATGACTTCTCCTGGCCAAAACCCCAATTTGGCGGAGCCAGGAAATTGAATATCTACCCTCGGGGCTCCTCCAGAAACAACGAAAAGCCACTTCGTGTGGCCACGTGGAATGTTCGAACGCTCACTGCAGAGGAGAGGCTGCCACTCCTCTGTCGGGAGCTGGACCGGAACCGCCTGGATCTCCGGTGGAACGGTTCTGGCTCCTGCCACCATGAGGGGTGGACAGTCCTCTACTCGGGGCAGCAGACTGCCAAACAACAGGGAGTGGCTCTTCTTCTGAACAAAAGAATGAAGGGGGCGTGGGAGCGTGGCGGTGAGGTGTGGGAAGCTGTAAGCCCCAGGCTACTTTGGGCTCGCCTTCCCATCAACCGGAGGCGAGGAATGGTGGTCGTGGTTACTTTTGCCCCCACCGAAGATGAACATCCGTGGAGGGATGCAGGCAAAGCCGATGAGTCAGATGCCTTCTATGACCTCCTGTCATAGGTGCTGGCTAAAGTGGCCCCTCGGGATAGAGTCATCTTGTTGGGTGACTTCAATGCCCGAGTTGGTCATGATACTGGCACCTGGTCTGGAGTGATTGGAAGGCATGGGCCAGATCAGCGCAATAACAACGGTAGGAGGCTGCTAGATTTTTGTGCAGCCCATGGGCTTGTAATTGCTAACACGCTATTCCGGCATCGGCGCATCCACACAACATCATGGATGCATGCCGGGTCCAAGCAAGAACATCTGCTGGACTACATAGTGACGGACTAGCGGATGCGAGCCCATGTCCTTGACACCAGGACCTACCGTGGAACTGATATGCCCTCTGACCATCGACTAGTCATCTGTAAGATGCGCCTGCCAGTCTTCCACTCCGGTGGTGGGTGTACACCCAGGACCCCATTCCGACCTAAAGTGGCCTGGTCTCAGTTATCTGATGAAAGTTGCAAGCGAGAATTTCATCATCGCTTGCAGCTGGGATTGGCATTGTCCCCGACTCCTCCTGATGTCGAGGGTAAATGGGCGAGGTTTAGGACTGTGACTCATGCAGCTGCAATGGCTGCTTTAGGTACGCGGTCCAGACCTCCCCAGAGACCCTGGCTGACAGAGGAGGTGTTCAGGATGGTTGAGAAAAAGCGACAGGTCCACTGTCATCGGCTACAGAATCCCACGTCTGAGAATGAGGAGGCTTACTGCAGCCTTCGCTCGGAGGTTCGGAGAGCCGTGAGGCGCTGCAAGGATGGGTGGTGGTCGCGGGTTGCTGAGGAGATGGAGTCTGCCTCAGTGGCCCGTGATCACAAATCTCTATTTAATTCCATCAAAAAAGTAACCTGCAGCGCCACACCTATTGCCATCATTAGGGGAAAAAACGGTGATCCAATCTCCGACCCCCAGGAACAGGTTTGCAGATTTGCTGAGCATTTCTGTGAGGTCCTGGGGGAGGGAAAATCCCTCAGCCAGGAAAACATCGTGGCACAAAGTGAGGATGACCCTGCTGAGGCTGCGGTGCCTCAAATATTGGAAGAAGTCACCCCCTGTGAGTGGCTGGCTGAGGCGCCATCTGTTGAGGAAGTACTGAAGGCGATCCGGAGTATGAGACCAGGAAAGGCAGCGGGCAGAGATGATCTCCCAAGCGAAATGCTGAGGGAGGGTGGCGTTTGTGCACAGACTGCCCTATATGACATCATAACAACAGTCTGGACCACTGGACGGGTTCCGCAGGATTGGAAGGATGCCCTGGTGGTCCCCCTCTTTAAGAAGGGGGACTGCACAGACTGTAACAACTACAGGGGCATCTCACTCCTCAGTGTACCGGGAAAGGTCCTGGCAAGGATTATTCAACATCGCCTTGCCAGGCACGCTGAGGAGAGGCTTGCGGAGCTCCAATGCGGTTTCAGGAAAGGGCGGTCCTGCACAGATGCCATATTTTCTGTCTGTCTGCTACAGCAGAGGTGTAGGGAATTCCAACAAGACCTACATCTCTGCTTTATTGACCTGGTCATGACCTGTGATACCATCAGTAGGCCTGGGCTCTGGGTTGTTTTTCATGCTTTTGGAGTCCCTGACGTCTCTGCTCACGATTATTAAAGACCTTCATGATGGTGAGCGTGCCCGGGTAAAACTATGTGGCTGGGAGTCAGAGCCATTTCCTGTACACCTTGGGGTGCGATAGGGATGTTCTCTGGCTCCCACATTATTTAACATCTATTTTGACCACGTAGTTCGTGAAGCCTTCAATAGCTGTACCGGGGGAATCTACCTATGGTACATATATAATGGGAGGCTGATCGATGCCCGGGTGCGGTCAAGGGATGGCTCCCTATTGCTCAACCACGTTATATATGCTGATGATTTGGTAATAGCTGCTCATTCAGAGGAGGAGTTGGAGACGCTGCTGCTGAGATTGGAGTGTGCCACTAAGAGATGGGGGCTTACCATCAGCCCCACCAAAACTAAGCACCTGCCTGGGTATTGTGTACCATCGGGCACTCCACCCCCACAACTCCCAATCGGTGATGGAGCAGTTGTGGAGAGAGTGGAGAGTTTCCCATACCTGGGTAGTGTGCTTATGACTGGCTCCAGTTTAACAGCAGAGGTCTCACTCCGAATCAGTCGAGCGGCAATATCTTTTCATCGGTTGCGTAACGCTGTGTGGAAGCTACCTGGTCTGTCGCTCCGCACTAAGCTTCAGGTCATCTCGGCCACGGTCATTCCCTCCCTTCTCTACGCTTGCGAAACGTGGACCCCCCTAATGGAACATCTTCGCCGGTTAGAAACATTTAGGCTGGCCTGCCTACGATCCATCCTGGGTTTAACCAGACTGGATTGTGTGAGGAGCTCACAAATCCTTGAAAGATCTGGGCAGGGTCCCATCGGTGAGCTCCTCCGGCAGGCAAGGCTGCGATGGCTGGGTCATGTAGCCCGCATGCCCAGCCACCGCATGCCGAAACAGCTTTTGTTTGGCCGGATTGAGGGGGCTAAGCGGGCGCGGCACGGGCTAGAGAAGAGATGGAGTGATGTGGTACAGGAGGACGTGGAGCTGAGTGGACTTGCTGATGACTGGTACCAGCGGTGTCAAGATCGGCCTCTGTGGAGGAGGCTCGTGAAGGATGCTACTGGGCAGTTGGAGGCAGTCGCCCTCCAACAACAACGGAGGACGGAGGAGCGACGCTCAGAACAACGAGCGGAGCGCCGGGTGGCTAAAGCACAGCAGGTTGGCACAGTAGGGGGCACAGGTGGTGCATCAGCCAGTCATCTCAGTCAGCCGACCCGTGGCACCTGGGTCTGCCCCGTGACCTCCTGCCAGCGGGCGTTCGACACTTCACGTGGCCTCAGGGTGCACATAGCCTGGCACAAGCGTCGTGGTGACGTCACCGCCACTTAGTGGCGAATGGCGGTTGTTGTTGTTGTGTATGTGTGTGTCACTGTGTGTGTGTCACTGTGTGTGTGTGTCACTGTGTGTGTGTGTCACTGTGTGTGTGTCACTGTGTCTGTGTGTGTAGTGTGTATAGTGTATATGTCTGTCTGTGTGTTTATCTTCATTACCCCGATGACGAATCTGGTGATGCCCTCTAGGGCTCGCGACTTTTTATTGTTGTTGTTGTGTGTGTGTCACTGTGTGTGTGTGTGTGTCACTGTGTGTGTCACTGTGTGTGTGTGTCACTGTGTGTGCATCTTCGTTACCCCAATCACGAATCTGGTGATGCCCTCTAGGGCTCGCGACTTGTTGTTGTTGTCTGTGTGTGTGTCACTGTGTGTGTCACTGTGTGTGTGTGTCACTGTGTGTGTCTGTGTGTGTCTGTGTGTGTGTCACTGTGTGTGTGTCACTGTGTGTGTGTGTCACTGTGTATGTGTCACTGTGTCTCTGTGTGTGTGTCACTGTGTGTGTGTGTCACTGTGTATGTGTCACTGTGTGTGTGTGTGTCACTGTGTGTTTATCTTC